CAATCACAAGAGGAAAATTAAAAAAAAAATTTCAAAATTACAACTTACAAGGTAATCCATTGACTCAGGTCAATATCACCGTTTAGAAGGTTGGGATCAAATTTTATAATATTATTTAATATTATAATTAGAATAATTTTAATAAAATAATAAGAATAAATGTGAAGGTACTTTATTGTCCTCATAGAGAGTCACTGCTTAGCGGGGCCCAGTTAGTAAGGGGTGGGTGGACATATGCCAAAAGGAATTTTGCCGCCTCTTCTGACAACGAATTTGGGACCCAAGTCAGTCACGCACATTTGCATGGGGTTTTTTTTAACAAAGTCCAATCATTACTCAACACGTGGACTTGTCGGTTCAAGTACGAGTCCCCTCTTAGCCCCTCGACCTTCACGGGTGAAATGAAACGCTGTGGTGATACTGAAATCTCCCAGCGATTGTTTTTGAATTATTGATGCCGATAGATAGGAACAATTCGATTTTTATTAAATAAAATTTTAAATTTAAATTTTATAAATAAAAAAAAATCAATAAATGAATGGATTGACTTTAATAGCGAAAAAACATCCGTTAAATGATAGTTAGTTATATTTTTAATTGTTAAAATACATAAAATAAAAAAAAATCAATAATAATGGACTGTTTAGGAGCCCAAATATAATTTATATAATACATTATTTATTTTAACAATTTAATAATTTATTATTATTTAAAACCCACTCATCTCAAGGTTTACAATTAAACTATGGTAAAAAAAAAAGAAAAAAAAAACAGGTTCTTGTTTTTCTAGGCCATTTCTCCAATATCCAACTCCATTGTTTGCCAATTTTCTTCAACTTCAACCCAACCACTTCAAAAATAGAAAAAAAGAGAAAAAAGAGACATTATCGACGGCCCAACGCAAGCAATTACAATACTGCTTGTTATTGAAAGCTTGAAGATAAAGGGACCAAATGGACTACTAATTTCTTGAAAAAAATTAAAAACAACATTATCTCTCTTTTTTTATGAATCAAATATTATCACATTGCATTTCAATTTTCAAGTTTGGTAAGTTTCTTTCTTCTTTTTTTTTTTAATTTTGTTTTATACTTG